GCCCTTTAAGGTTTAAAGATATGAAGGGTATACGGCCATGAACTGAAAAACAGCGATGCTTGATCCAACGAAAAATGTGTTTTATATGCTCCAGAATGATGCCCAAAGGTGATTCTTGATTATTTTTCGGAAGAAAATAAGGTATTTCGGTGTTTGTGGTTGAGAGGATTGAGAGAAACTGGGGGATTTTTCGGCTAGAAAAGTGTAAATGAGGGTAGGAATCACGTATATATAAGGGGTTCATGGTTGGTGGCAGGGCACACCAGTCATGAACTAGTTTACGGCCATGATCGGGTTTATGGCCGTGAACAGGTTCACCAGTTTGGTCGGAAACTGTTGATTTTTCGAAGGAAACTCGGGTTTCGCACGATTTTGGGTTCGACTCATATATATATATATATATATATATATATATATATATATATATATATATTAAAGGATTTTCCAGACCATAGGAATTTAACGGAACAAATAAAATGTGAAATTTACTTAACAAAAAATGGCTAACTTTAACGGAGAAAGGTTCGGGTTGTCACATAATGATTTGAAGGACGAAATCTAATTTAAGTGGAGGAGAGTTGTAACGCCCTGTTCCGAATCGATTTCCTAATTCGAGACTGTGGCCTGAGGATAGATTATCATACGGTTTGTGACCCTTGGAAGAGAGAGATACAAACCATTTTTTCATATAGAAAATGTAAATGAGGTGATCTGGGAGTTGGATCTTGTCTTGAAGCCAAAGGGTTATATCGGTAAAGTGGTAGTTCGAGCCCTTTATAGGTGTTGGTTTTAGTGGGAAAGCTATGAGGCTTGGGTGTGTTGATAGGGGCGTAAGGCTTCTCGCCACCTTTTTGTGGAATAAGGTTCGTCGGAAACAGACCTAGAATGAGGGAGTTATGATAGTTTGAAGGCTTTGGTAGTTTTGGTCCCTAGGTAGGAAAAGCTTGCATTTCAGCATGTATGCAAAGATGACAAACAATGAGTACTCTCAGCGTAAGCTGGGAACGCCCGACGTAGTGTTGGATATGTGAAATGTGAGTGCGAAGATGTACACCCAGCGTACGTGCAACATCTCTAACACCCTAATTTTTAGGGTTGGCTCACTATTTAAAGCACCTTAAGTCCTGGGGTGTGCCCCTTTTTCATTCTCAAAGCCTTAAACCGTAAACTCCAGTGGTAGTGTCATTCAAGAGTGATGTGAGCTTTGTGGGTACATTTTGGGTGGCTTTGGGTGCATTTCAAGAAGTGGAAGCTCAATACAAGGTGGTTATTTAAGGGAGGGCTTGTAGATAGTGACTTATTGCTACATTTTCAGCTCACAGAAGGTAAAAGTTCTGAAATTGATCACTAGATGTTGTTGTTTTTTAATATGTCGGTTTTCGGTCCCTTTTTGGCCTTATGAGAAATTAGGGCTAGGACACAACACAATTATTTACAATTCAGAAGAGGGATGCCGTAATCTAATTAAAAATAATTTGAAGGCGGTTAAATGATGATTTACCAATTTCCACCATGAAAAACAAAAAAGAAAATTATGTTTTAAATGTAATGAATCTCCTAGATCTCTTGAGATTCATTGAACTTTTCCATGGCATGTTTAAATCTCGATATGTCGTTCAAGTTTGTGACTGGGATACCGAGGATCACAAACAATGTGTGAATAACTATGCAAATGTACTTGGTGTTCTCCATGTCATTTACCACCTAATCAACGTGCTGGTTAACCACTCACGCTCCATTGATATATAATAAACATCGTGCCACCCTTTTCCACCATTACTATTCTAAATTAGTGTGACAGCTATCCACGCACGCTCCACCAACGACTTGGCATGGTGCAAAGTGTAATTTCATGGAATAGCATCATTTGACGTTTTTCCAAAACTAACTATGATTGGGAATTTTTATAAAAACATTATTTACTTTTATTAATCAATATACTTTTAATGAGGAATTAGTTTCCCTAACCTACCTGTTAGACTAATGACCCTCCACCAATCAAGGAAGCGGTGAGTGAGAGTAGCCACCCATTAAACTACTATTTTAGAGGTAGCAACGTTATACCCCCCTTATAGATCAGCTTCGTGAATGAGGTCTACTATCGGTAAGACTAGCTTAATCTTATATATATATATATATATATATATATATATATATATATATATATATATATATATATATATATATATATAATTATTAATCTTATAATATTATAATAGTATAAGGGTTGAATTTTAAACTTGTAAAATTCTAGGGTTTGGAATTTAAATATTTCAAAATTAAAATTTTAAATTCTAAAACTTGAGGGAAAGTTTTGAAACTTTTCAAAACATCTTTTAGCTAAAATTTAAAAAATAATTAATCAATTATATTATTAATATTTATCACATAATTTGACATAATCGTTTTCTTAACAAGATAATTCAAATAAAAATACAAATAATTAATCTTTATCATATAAAACAAGTAATTATTTTATTTATGACAATTATCTTTGAATTGCACTAGGATAATCTATACCTTATAGAAAAAATTGGATTTTAAAAGCCAAAAATGTTTTGGTAATTATCCTAATTCAATTTCAGTCAAAATCTCGAAAATCAGCCACCAGACTGCCCGACTCGTCGAGTTACCTTGACTCCTCTAGTTCATCAGGTGACTCGATGAGTTCATCATGCAGAAGCATGATTTTACGATTTTCAGCTTTGAATAATTTTAACAATGCATGAAATACAAAAGAAAAATTGACCAAAGCTCTGATACCACTTTTGGGTTATGAGCAAAACATTAATCCTATCGTGCACATGCAAACCCTAAAGTTTTGGATCTAGGTTTTTATATTTGTGCATGCAATAATCATCCAAAGCACTCAACCCCTAGATCTAGAATATTTAAATCAAAATCAATACAAATAAACTAGTAAGAATGTTACCTTTGATTGTTGCTTAAAGATGTTGAGCTTTTCATAAACTTAGCACCACAAATGTGATTCGTCTAATGAATCACAATCATAAAAAGCAAGTGGATGATTTTGGAGAGAGGGGAAGGAGGCTCAAAACTAGCTCTATGATCTCTAGGGTTCAGGTGTCCAGTTTTGTAAAGCCAAAAGGATCTATATATAGCTGAAGAATTAGGGTTTCAGTTAAAGTCCTCATTCGGTTCCATATGCACGAAGCAGCCCACAAGAACCTTCCGGAACTTGGCCCCTTGGACGAAATCCTTATGGGCACCCATAAGATTTCACCCAACCCCTTTCCAAGGTTTTCTCATCCCATTTGGAAATTATCTTATAATTACAAGTTCATTCCCTATAATACAATTAACTTCTTTTGACACAAAATTAATTCTAAATTAATTCTTGACCAATGTTAACTAATTAATATGATTTCTCCTTTAATATATTATTCAAATAATATATTAATAAACAATAATAACCTTTTTCTCCATTATTCATCAAGTCAATTTGCTTTGGTGAAGGCAACCCAAAAGGACCATGCTACAACTATGGTAAGTACATACCAAATATAGTTATGGGCTTAAACACCTAATCCAATAGTACATACTTCACGCATTTATGTCAGCGTGTCTGATATGCGGGCAGACGTCCACATTGGTGTCACTTCATCACAGGGATCATTTCCTACTTCTCCTTCTCGTGGGGAAGAAGAAATCCTATTTGGAGATGATTAGGAGCCGATCTCCGACTTCGTTTTTAGCCTCTTCACCATAAACCTAAATAGCGATGATGATGATGCCCCAGTGACCAAAATACAGTTTAAAAAGCTTAATGAGAAATTGGATTCTCTTTTAGAGTCTTCCAAATCATGATCTTCATCTAATTGCGAGTACATGTTGAAATCCCACAGGGCCACCCTCGAGATGCTGAAAAAAGTGAGCGCAAAAGTCCTTGAAGAATCTACCAAGGCAATTAAAGCTTTTGAAAAGACCCTTTCGGATATGACCGCAAAAGTCGAAAAACAACAACAATAGGTCACTACTTTATGGCTGAATTCAGAATGACATTTTACTCCAATACCAAATCCATGAACAAAGTCATTGAAGGATTTCGCACCTCATTGAAAGCTAAGAGGGAGGATCTATATGTTAGTCGTTCAAACATTAAAGTTGATAATTTTGAACTCTCCTCTTCTATTGTTTCAAAGGTTTAATAGTTGCAGGCGGACTTGGAAGCAGAAAACAAGATCATGGACGAGTTGGCTGAGAAAACTCAAAAAGCTAAGGTCGTTCTGTCAAACAGAAGAATGCTACCAATCATATTAATAATCTTGAGAACGAGAAGACTATTGTCAAAAAATGTGTTTGTAAAATAAATCAATATTTGCTAAGGCTTGTGGAGACTTGTTACTCTTTGTTCACAGTCTCAGTTTGACAACACCTCTCAGACTAACATCAACAAATCTTTATGACGCTCAACCAAATTAAAGATGCTTTGGGAATCAGAGCTCTTCTGAAACAAGGGGAGACAAAGAGCCTCAGCCAAATAAAGAGCCTTAGCCAAAGCAAAAGATTGAAGAACAGAAGCCGAAGACTCAAACTGATCAGAAGAGTAATGAAGCTTCTCTATCAAATAAAGGAAAAGAGAAAACGGTTGATGATGATGAGGAAGAAGAAGAGATTTCTAAGTTTGAGAAGCTAGTGTGAAAGAAGCATGACAAAGAACTTGATGATCTTCTTAATCTTTGAAAGTATTTAGAAGCACAAGAAGCGGAGGCTAAGAATGAAAAGATTATTATTGAAACTCAGAAGTCACTCTTTCCTCCATGGTCGATGGAACAAATTCAAAAAGAGGCCATTGATGAACCGAACATCTATTGGCTTGATCCTTCAATCTTATTTGATCTAGATAATGATACGGAATCTCAACATTATTTTCCCATCACACCCAAGGCCTTTTCCGTTTCATTGCTTTGAGAAAACTAAAAAGTCTCAGATCTCAGATAGTGTTGTTAATCAAAAGCTATTCTCTTTCTATCTGAAGTATGCCAAGCCTCAGTACAAGACTTGGTGTTTTGAAGAAAATATGGGCTTTAAGAGTTAAGTCACCTGTTCAGATTGAAAACTTTCTGAACATTCAGTTGAAGGGGTTTAAGGGAGCTAATCAAATCATGGACGAGTTTACTCTGGTAGACTTTCCATTCATGAATCCATACGATTGGATCTCCTTGTTCTTCATTGTGATGAAAGATGAACAAAAATACGAGCCTATTGTTGCATATCTGAAGAGAATGATCATTGGCTACATTCACGAAATAGTAAAGATGGATGTAGAGATTGCTTTAGTTCTAAAGAAAAAGCCCAATTTTGAAGCTAGAAGAGGAACCAAAGAACCTTAATAAGCTAAAGGTTGGAAAAATCAAAAAGGAGCATTGGAGCGTAGTTTATAACTAAAAGGAAGGTGAAACAGTTCAGAAGAGCATGTTCTTTTTGCGAGACAAACATTTGTACTCTTCCGCTGGTCTAGAGACTATACTCGCAATAGCTAAAGCTTGCAAGGAAAACTCTGTTGTTAATCTGAAGTGCTTTTTAGAGATGATCAAATGGTACATCTGTAACATCCCAAAACTCGAGACCATAAAATTTTGTTTTAATTATATCGCTTATAAAATTTATTTAAGGAAAACATTACTGATATCATATAAATTCTTAAACCATAATTACATGTCTCAAAAACCATATCGTCAAATAGTCATAATGTCAGAGTACAATCCCAAAAATCTCAAATGCAAAATCATGTGTGTACGATGTGCTGCTACCCTGCCGGCTCCTTTCCCTTCGACAAAGAGGTAACTGAAACCAAAAGTGAAAAATGTAAGCACAAAGCATAGTGACTTCCCCTATCATACCACATACCATACAATCATACATACTGTCGGAAAATTCTCGAGTGCCCGACCTACCCATGTCAATCCATTATGGGGTGCCGACCAACCCATGTCAAGCCATTCTAGAGTGTTGAACTACCCGTGTCAGGCCATTCTGGAGTGCCTGCCTTCCCTCTGATCTATCTCAACCGGCCATAGGGACAGTATCACCACCTACCATTATCACATAATAACATATCATAATCATGTTGTCACACATATATGGGGTGTCTGACCTACCCTTCAATCCTAATGACCGAATCGGGGGACTATTCCCCTCCTACTACCACTATCGCATATAACATATCATACTGACACATAAGACACATCAGGTAGTAGCAAACATAGACAATTATTACAAAGACAATCATCTAAATACAACTCCTGCTGGTGGGCCGACATTATGGCCATAGACCCACCTCTACTGTAAGGTAAGTCACCTCAATACCGTGTAGTGTATGCATTGTCCTCTGTATGGAAATCAAATCTTCTCAACTCCTCAATCCCTACACAACAACCTTTCCAAATTACCATTTCATACACATAACCCTCACAAGGGTCAACTTAAGTCCATGTCAAAGTCAAGGTCAAAACCCTGGTCAAAGTCAAATTTTGTCAAAGTCATTATCTGGTTGAATAGACTCGCCGAGTTGGAACACCAACTCGTCGAGTCCCCACATCCTCAAAATGCTACAACCCCGTGCCTACTCGTTGAGTCTAGAAAGATCTCGATGAGTTCTCCTTCAACAAAACATCGGGACCTTCTTCAACTGACTCGCCGAGTTCCTCCTTGAACTCGTCGAGTTCATCTTCATCTGTATGAAGGTGTTTAGTCTATGACTCGCCGAGTTCTCCTTGAACTCATCGAGTCCGTCTTTATGTGGTTGGGACATTACCTTGCACTCGTTGAGTTCCTCCTTGAACTCATCGACTCCTTCGATCTTCAAGTCCATAACAAACCCCAATAGGCTGAGTTTTCCTTTAACTCAACCAAAGACCATTTCCAGAAGAAGTTTGGGGGAAATTACGACCTGACTCACCGAGTCACCTAAGTGACTCACCGAGTCCCTCTTTGTCCAAAACTATACAGTCAATTTTAACTGGTCTTAATGCCTCCAAATCAAAGATCTGGCTTCCTTGGGTCTACAAGATGCATGGGGTGCTTATGGCAATAAAGTTGGCACCTTTATGCCATAAGAACCCCCAATGGTCCCAGATCCAAAGTTATACCCTCAATGAACCACAAAATTTCGAGTATGGCACCTCTAAGGCTTAGAAAAGGTAGAAATTAACCCTATTTAGAGATCTAAGAGATAGATGGTCAAGGTTTCATCTTTATACCTCAAATAAGCTAGAAATGGGGCATAACCTCTGGATCTACTAGCTTCCACTCAAAATTCCAAGATCCTTCTTCCTTCTCAAGCTTCACAATCACCACAAGCACACACAAATGGCTCAAGAACAGTCAAACAAGGTTAGGGTTTCGATTTAGGGTTTCTCTAAGTTAGGAGGGACGATGGGGGCTATGTTGAGGTAGGATAAGTTTTTAAAATAAGATGCAAAGCCTAAATATTATGGCTTCATCTAGATAGCCCTACTCATCGAGACGGTCTCTCGACTCGTCGAGTAGGTCACTAAACCTCGCAGTCAACTCGACGAGTTAGGCCTCCCTCATTTCTTCCTCCGTCTCCCAATTCCATTCTGAGCACTTGCGGTGCTGCCATTGTACCTTCACCAACTCCACCCTCTTTTTCCTCAGATCCCTCGACTTCTTGTCGAGGATAGCTATTGACCGCTCGATGTAGTTCAGGCTTTCATCCACCTGAATATCCTCTAATGGATCCACTGATGAAGCATCTACCATACACTTCTACAGCTAGGAGACGTGAAAAGTATTGTGAATCTTGCTGAGTTCGACTGGCAGGTCCAACCTATATGCCACCTTGCCCACCCGGGATACAACCCTGAAGGATACAATGTACCTGGGGTCCAACTTTCCCCACTTCATGAACCGAATGATACATTTTCAAGGCGTCAACTTTAGGAGCACCATATTCCCGACCTAGAACTCCAGGTCCGAACGTCGCTTGTCGGCATAACTCTTTTGCCGACTCTGAGTAGTCTGAAGCCTACTCCAAACTTGCTAGATCCTCTCTTTAGTCTTGAGTACCACTTCGGTACTCCCTATGAACTTCTGTCCAACCTCACCCCCAGCATATCAGTGTCTTGCACTTCCTCCCGTACAACATCTCGAAGGGAGGATGATCGATACTCACATGATAGCTATTATTGTAGGAAAACTCTGCCAATGGAAGGTAAGTATCCCAACTACCTCCAAAGTCTAAGACACATGCCCGCAGTACATCCTCCAAGGTATGGATGGTCCGCTCACTCTGACCATCCGTTTGCAGGTGAAAAGCGGTGCTAAAGTGCAAACAAGTACCCAACTCGTTGTGAAACTTCTTCCAGAATCTGGAAGTGAACCGCACATATCTGTTAGGAACCAACGAAACTGGCTGCCCGTGCCAAACCACTACCTCTCTGATGTAGATTTTAGCCAACCTTTTGACCAAAATGCTCTCCTAAATCAGAATGAAATGGGAGCTCTTGGTTAACCGATCCACGATGACTGAAATCGAATCCACTCCCCATGCGGTCTTGGGAAGCTTCGTGATGAAATCCATAGTGATATCTTCCAATTTCCACATCGGGATATCCAATGGTTGGATCTTGCCATGAGGCCTCTGGTGTCAGCTTTGACCTTCCTACAGGTTAGGAATCTCTCAACATACCAAACTACATGCTGCTTCATGCACGGTCACCAATAATCAGGACAAAGATCCGTGTATATCTTCATCGCCCAGGGATGGATGGAAAACCTATATTTGTACGCCTCCTCCATCAATACCTGTTGCACACCACCACGATATGGGACCCACACCCTATGGTGTAGTGTCAACAATCCACATCTGTCATGATCGATAGAGGAAACCTGACCCATAATACGCTCACTCTTACGATGTTCCTCCTTCCTAACCTCCTGATGGGCCTCTTGAATCCCATCCAACAGCACAGTTACCACGGTCATCCTCAAGCAAATATCTTTGATCGGTGCTGCCTTGTGGCTAAGCATATCGGCCACGACATTGGCCTTCCCCAGGTGGTAGAGGATCTCACAATCGTAATCCTTCACCACATATATCCATCGATGCTGCCTCATATTCTGATTTGGCTGATCCATGAGGTACCTCAAACTCTTATGGTCCCTATAAATGGTACAATAGACCCCATAGAGGTAATGACGCCAAATATTGAGGGCGAAAACAATTGTCCCTAACTTTAAGTCATGTGTTAGATAGTTTGCCTTATGTGGCTTCAGCTGCCTTGAATCATAGGTGATAACATGCCCCCTTTGCATCAATATCACTCCCAAACTCAGGATGGACGAATTACAATACACTACAAAATCCTCTACGCCCTCTGGCAGGGCCAAGATTGGCACCTCACACAATCTCTATCTTAGTGTCTCAAACACTGCCTATTGCTCAGGCCCCGAATGAAGGACCACAACTTTCCATGTCAACCGGGTAAAGGGCACGGCTATCTTGGAGATGTCTTGAATGAATCTCCAATAATAACCTACCAATCCTAGGAAGCTCTGAATCTCAAATGGAGATATCAGAACCTCCCACCTCATCACGGCCTCCACTTTGGCCGAGTCGATCAAAATCTCGTTCTGGTTGACAAGGTCCCCAAGAAACTGCACCTCGCATAACAAGAATTCACACTTAGAAAACTTGTCATACAAGCTCTCCCTCCTCAGAGTATCCAACACCTCTCGCAAGTGCTCCTCATGCTGCTCCTGCATCTTGGAATAAACCAATATTTCATCAATGAAAACTATCACAGACGGATCCAACATCAATATGCACATGCGGTTCTGAGATCCATGAACGCGGCATGAGCATTGGTGAGCCCGAAAGGCATCACCACGAACTCATAGTGACTATATCGCTTCCGAAAAGCAGTCTTATGTATATCCTCCTCTTTGACACTCATCTGATGATAACTTGAATGCAGATCAATCTTGGAGAACTAAGATGATCCCTAAAGCTAGTCAAAGAGATCATCAATCATCAGGAGTGGGTAACGGTTCTTCACCGTTACCTTATTCAGCTCCTGGTAATCTATATACATCTGATGTGACCCGTCCTTCTTCTTCACAAATAGAATCGAGGCTCCCCAGGGTGAATTGCTTGGTCGGATGAATCCCTTGTCTAACAGCTCCTGCAGCTGTGTAGACAACACCTACATCTTAGGAGGAGCCAACCGATACGGTGCCTCGGCTATCGGCTATCTTGGAGATGTCAACTGGGTAAAGGGCACGGCTATCTTGGAGATGTCTTGAATGAATCTCCAATAATAACTTTCCATGTCAATCGGGTAAAGGGCACGGCTATCTTGGAGATGTC